TGCAGTGGTGTAAATCACAGCTCACTGCAGCCTCAACCTTCTGGGCCCAATTGATCCTCCCACCTCAGTCTCCTGAACAGCTGGGTCTACAGGTACATGCCACATACCTGGCTAATTTTTGTGTTTTTTATGGAGACAGGGTCTCACTAGGTTGCCCAGGCCAGTCCCAAACTCCTGGCCTCAAGCTATCCTCCCACCTCAGCCTCCCAAAGTGCTGAGTACTGGGATCATAGGTGTGAATCACTGTGCCCACCAAGAATATTTCAATAACCTTGGTATACAAAAGGATTTCTTAGACAATAATATAAAGGACAAATCATAAAAGTTGGATGCACTTAACTATGTTAAAAAATATAAACTTTTGCTGGGCGCCGGTGGCTCATGCCTGTAATCCCAGCACTTTGGGAGGCCGAGGCGGGTGGATCACGAGGTCAAGAGATCGAGACCATCCTGGTCAACATGGTGAAACCCCGTCTCTACTAAAAAACTACAAAAAAAAATTAGCTGGGCATGGTGGCACGTGCCTGTAATCCCAGCTACTCAGGAGGCTGAGGCAGGAGAATTGCCTGAACCCGGGAGGTGGAGGTTGCGGTGAGCCGAGATCGCGCCATTGCACTCCAGCCTGGGTAACAAGAGTGAAACTCCGTCTCAAAAACGAAAAAAATAAAAATATAAATATATATATATATATATATATATAAACTTTTGAAGCCAGGCACGGTGGCTCATGCTTGTAATCCCAGCACTTTGGGAGGCTGAGGCAGGCAGATAACTTGAGGTCAGGAGTGTTGTGCTGAGCAATGGAAATCCTACTAGCAGAAGTGTAAACTGATATAATCACTCTGGATACCTTTTGATATTTAGCAAATCTGAATGTGGTTACACCCTATGACATAATCAGCAATTCCACCCCTAGAAAAATTATTACACCACTATACCAAAAGACATATACAAGAATTCAAAAGTGTTAATAGCTGCAGTGATCTTTATAGCAAAAAGCTGGAAACAGTTCAAATGTTCTTCAGTAAAAGAATGGTTTAGTAAATTATGGTATTATTATAAAATGGAAACATATACATTGGTAGAAATGCCTACAGCTACAAATATCAACATAGATGAATCCCACAAACATAATGTGGAAGGAAAGTTCAGAAGAATTCATATATGATTCTATGTATATAAGATTCGGAAACACGAGTGAGAAAGCCATAAAGAAAAGTACAATTCCTGGCCGGGCATGGTGGCTCATGCCTATAATCCCAGCACTTTGGGAGGCCCAGGTGGGAGAATCCCTTGAGCCCAGGAGGTCGAGACCAGCCTAGGCAACATAGAGAGACCGTGTCTCTACGAAAAAAAAAAAAAATCTGAGCATAATGGTGTGCACCTGCAGTCCCAGCTACTTGGGAGGCTGATGTGGGAGGATCACTTGAGCCCAGGAGTTTGACGCTGCAGTGAACCATGATTGCATCACTGCACTCCAGCCTGGGCAACAGACTGACTGTCTGTCTCAAGAAACAAAACACAAAACAAAACTAACCAGACATGCTGGCATATACCTGTAGTCAGCTGCTCGGGAGGCTGAGGTGAGAGGATTCCTTGAGCCCATCAGTTAGAGGTGGCAGTGGGCTACGATCACACCACTGCACTCCACCATGGATCCTGTTGGTTAAAAAAAAGAGAAGGATGTATGAGCATGTTGACAGCCTTGATTCATTCAACAAACATTTATTGAATTCCCACTGTGTGCCCGGTAGTATGCTGGGCCCTGGAGTACAGAGATATATTTATTCAATTATGCAGTTACCCATTCTTCTAAAAGCCAGAAATAATTCATTTATTCATTCAATAAATATTTATTAAGTGAATACTATGTGCCAGGTATTGATCTAAGTGCTGCAAATACAGCATTGAACAAAAGTCCTTTCATGGAGGTAGAGAGAGGCAATAAATATCTGTAAAGTGGTGATAAGTACTATAAAGAACACTGAAGTATAAATGGTATAAAGAGAATGTATATGTGTTGAGGAGGGGAGAGTTGCTATTTTAGATAAGGTGGTCAGGAAAGGCCTTTCAGAGAAGATGACATTTGAACAGAGACATCAATGAAGTGAGGGAATAAATTGTGTGGCAATCTGGGGGGAAATCATTCCAGGCAAAGAGAAAACACATGCAAGGGGTAGTTAGGAGGCTATCGTAGTAATCTAGGCAGGAGATGATGGTGGCTTGGATGAGGTTGGTAGTAACGAAAATGGTGAGAAGTCATTAGGGATGGAATGGGCTGGGCGCAGTGGCTCACGTCTATAATCCCAGCACTTTGGGAGGCCGAGGCTGGTAGAGCACCCGAGGTCAGAAGTTCAAGACCAGCCAGCCTGATCAACATGATAAAACACCGTCTCTACGAAAAATACAAAATTAGCTGGACGTGGTGGCACATGCCTGTAATCCCAGCTACTTGTGAGGCTGAGGCAGGAGAATCACTTGAACCCGGGAGGTGGAGGTTGCAGTGAGCCGAGATGGAGCCATTGCACTCCAGCCTGGGCAACAAGAGCAAAACTCCATCTCAAAAAAAAAAAAAAAAAAAAAGAAGGGATAGGATGTATTCTGAAGCTAGAGCCAACAGGATTTGCTGATGTATTGGATGTGAGTTATGAGACAAAGAGGGGAGTCAGGGATGACTGCCAGACCTGAGAGACTGGAAGGCTGGAGCTGCTGTTTAATGAAATAGAGAACATTGAGGAAAAAGAAGGTTCAGAGGGGAAAATAAAGATCTGTGTCTGGCATGTTAGGTTGAGGTGCCATTTGGAAATCCAAGTGGAGACATTGAATAAGCAACTGGGTATGTGAGTCTGGAGTTGAGGGGAGTAGTTGAAACTAGAAATATAAATTTGGAAATTATCACTATATAGATAGTGTTTAAAGCCATGGGATTAAATTATCCTAAGAATTGAGTGCAAACATAGAAGATATTAGAGGACTGAGCCCCAAGGTATTCCAAGAAATGTGGAGGCCAATAAGAAGACTATCGTACAGTCTGTGAAGTAAGAAGAAAATTGTGGGTGGGAATGGAGTGGGGAATACAGTTCCCAGAAGCCAAGTGAAAAGAATTTCAAAAAGGAAGTCATGATCTGGCATCAAATCAAACTGTATCAAACGTTGCTGAGAAGTGCAATAGGATGGCCGGGCGCGGTGGCTCACGCCTGTAATCCCAGCACTTTGGAGGCCAAGGCGGGCGGATCACCTGAGGTCGGGAGTTGAAGACCAGCCTGACCAACATGGTGAAACCCTGTCTTAAAAAAAAAAAAAAAAAAAAAAAAAAAAGATTTATTATGCTCAAGTAGTCCTCAGTTTAGGATATAGATATGAGTAAACAAAATCTACCACCTTATAGGTTAATCTGATTAGGTTAATCTAGATAAATTGATAAAGTAGAAAACTATGAGAGTAGAGAAGGATCATCTAGCACTGCCTGGGGAAGTTAGGAAGTCTTCAAATAGCAAGTAACCATTGAGGCTGGGCACGGTGGCTCAGCCTGTAATCCCAGCATTTTGGGAGGCTGATGCGGGTAGATCACCTGAGGTCAGGAGTTCCAGACCGACCAGTCTGGCCAACATGGCGAAACCCTGTCTCTACTAAAAATACAATTAGCTGGGCATGGTGGTGCACACCTGTAATCCAAGCTGCTCAGGAGGCTGAGGCAGGAGAATTGTTTGAACCTGGGAGGCGGAGGTTGCAGTGAGCCAAGATTGCGCCATTGCACTCCAGCCGGGGCAGCAAGAGCAAAACTCCATCACACACACACACACACACACATACACACACACACACAGACACACACACAGTAATCATTGAACTGATATTTGACAGACAATAGTTATTTAATTGTACAAAATCATGAAGGCATTCCAAAGAAAACCACATATTCATAAGTCTGGATGCTTAAGAATATGTTTCATAATTGATCTTTGATTTAGAATATCTGAGATAATAGTAAAAGATGCAGCTGGAAAGGAGACAGGAGCCAAATCCTGATAGACATTATATGCCATTCCGTGAGGAATGGGCTCTACCCTGAAATTGATGTGATTTTTTTTTCTTTTGAGATGGAGTCTTGCCCTGTCGCACGATCTCGGCTCACTGCAACCTCTGCCTCCCAGGTTTAAGTGATTCTCCTGCTTCAGCCTCCTGAGTAGCTGGGACTACAGGTGCATACCACCACACTTAGCTAATTTTTAGTATTTTTAGTAGAGACAAGGTTTCACCATGTTAGCCAGGATGGTCTCGATCTCCTGACCTCGTGATCTGCCCACCTTGGCCTCCCAAAGTGCTGGGATTACAGGTGTGAGCCACCACCCCCGGCCTATTTCTACAATATCTTTAGTGACTTCTTCCATTGAAGTCTTTCACCCCTTAAAGTCATCCATGAGGGTTGAAATCAACTTCTTAAAAACTCTTATTAATGTTGATATTTTGACATTTTCCTATGAATTACAAATATTCTTAATGATATCTAGAATGATCAATCCTTTCTAGTGGGTTTTCAATTCATTTTGCCCAGATCCATCTGAGGAATCACTATCTGGGGCAGCTATAGCCTTACAAAATGTGCTTCTTAAATAATAAGACTTGAAAGTCTAAATTCCTCCCTGATCTGTGGCCTGTAGAATGGGTGTTGTGTTACAGGCAGGAAAACAGCATTAATCTCTTTGTATATCTATCTCCATCAGAGTTCTTGGATTACTAGGTGCATTGTCAATGAGCAGTGGTCTTTTGAAAGGAATCTTTTTTTTTCTGAGCAATAGATCTCAATAGTGGGTTTAAATATATATGTGTATTTTTTTGAGACTGAGTCTCACTCTATTGCCCAAGCTGGAGTGCAGTGGCACAGTCTTGGCTCACTGCAACCCCTGCCTCCAGGGTTCGAGCTATTCTCATGCCTCAGCCTCCTGAGTAGCTGGGATTACAAGAGCCCGCTACCCCACCAGCTAATTTTTTTTTTTTTTAGATGGAATCTTGATCTGTCACCCAGGCTGGAGTGCCGTGGCTCAATCTCGGTTCTCTGCAAACTTCACCCCCTGGGTTCAAGCAGTTCTGCCTCAGCCCTCCCTGGTAGCTGGGATTACAGGCATGCACTACCGCACCTGGCTAATTTTTATATTTTTAGTAGAGACAGGATTTTGCTATGTTGTCCAGGCTGGTCTCAAACTCCTGACCTCAGGTGATCCGTCTGCTTTGGCCTTCCAAAGTGCTGGGATTACAGGTGTAAGCCACTGCACCTGGCCCTAATTTTTGTATTTGTAGTAGAGAAAGGGTTTCACCATGTTGGCCAGGCTGATCTCAAACTCCTGACCTTAAGTGATCCACCCACCTTGGCTGGCCTCCCAAAATGCTGGGATTACAGGCGTGAGCCACCACAACTGGCCAAAAAATAAAACAACAACAATAACAACAACAACAAAAAACGAGTGGGCTTAAAATATTCAGTAAACCAGCTGGGCATGGTGGCTCATGCCTGTAATCCCAGCCACTCTTAATTTGTTGCTGGGAGGAGACTGCAATGGATGGGAGGCTGAAGCCGGCAGATTTCATGAGCCTTGGAGTTTGAGACCAGCCTTGGCAATGTGGCAAAACCTCATCTCTACAAAAATTACAAAAAAATTATCCTGGCATGGTAGTGTACACCTGTAGTCCCATCTACTGGGGAGGCTGAGGAGGCTGAGGTAGGAGGATCACCTGAGCCCAGTAGGTTAAGGCTGCAGTAAGCTGTGACTGCACCACTGCACTCCAGCCTAGGTGACAGAGCAAGACCCTGTCTCAAAAAGAAAAAAGTCACCAGCTGCATTAACCCCTAACAAGAATCAGCCTGTTCTTTTGAAACTTTGAATTCAGAAATTGACTTTTCTCTAACTTTGAAAGTTCTAGATGGCACCTTCTTCCAGTAGAAGACTGTTTCGCCTACACAGAAAATCTCTTGTTTAATGTAGCCACTTTCATTTCTTTTTTTTTTTTTTGGAGACAGAGTCTCGCTCTGTCACCCAGACTGGAGTGCAGAGGCTCCATCTCAGCTCACTGCAACCTCCGTCTCCCGGGTTCAAGCAATTCTCCTGCCTCAGCCCCCTGAGTAGCTTGGATTACAGGCGCACGCCACCATGCCCAGCTAATTTTTATATTTTTAGTAGAGACGAGGTTTCGCCATGTTGGCCAGGCTGGTCTCAAACTCCCAACCTCATGACCTGTCCACTTTGGTCTCCCAAAGTGCTGGAATTACAGGTGTAAGCCCACACACCTGGCCATAGTATAACCACTTTCATCAATCATCTTAGCCAGAACTTTTGGATAACTGGCTGTGGCCTCTACATCAGGACTTGCTGCCTCGCCTTGCACTTTTATGTCATGGAGATGGCTTCTTTCCTTCAACCTCATGAACCAACCTCTGCTGGCTTCAGAATTCTCTTTTGCAGCTTCCTCACCTGTCTCAGCCTTCGTACAGCTGAAGAGAGTTAGGGCCTTGCTTTGGATTAAGCTTTGGTTTAAGAGCATATTGTGGCTGGTTTGATCTTCTATCCAGACCGCTAAAACTTTCTCTATATCAGCAATAAGGCTGTTTTGCTTTCTTATTCATGTATTCACGGGAGTAGCATTTTTAATTTCCTTTAAGAACTTTTCCTTTGCGTTTCCAACTTGGCTAACTGGCACATGAAGCCTAGCTTCTTGAAACCCTGTCTCAGCTTTCAACATGTCTTCCTCACTAAGCTTAATCATTTCTAGATTCTGGCTTAAAGTGAGAGACAGACTCATGCCTGTAATCTCAGCACTTTGGGAGGCTGAGGTGGGAGGATTGCTTGAGCCCAGTCGTTTGAGACCAGCTTGAGCAGCATAGGGAGACCCTGTCTCTACAAAATTAAAAAAAAAAAAAAACTGGGTGTGGTGGTCCCAGCTACTCAGGAGGCAGAGATGGGAGGATCCCCTGAGTTCAGGAGGTTAAGGCTGCAGTGAGCCGATTGTGCCACCACACTCCAGCCTAGGTAACAGAGTGAGACTCTGCCTCAAACAAACAAACAAACAAACAAATAAATAGAGAGCCATGTGACTCTTCCTTTCACTTGGACACGTAGAGGTGGATAAGGGAAAACTTGGATAAGAGGGACTACTGTATTTTGCAACTTGCTTTTTACACATAATATATTGTGAACATGTCTTTCTTTCTCTCTCTCTCTCTCTCTCTCTCTCTGTATATGTACACACCCCTCATTATTTTTTTTCTTCTGCAGTGATTTGGAACCCATTCTATTTTTAGTTGAAATTCTTACTGAGATATTTATAAGGAATAATAGAGATTCCTTGTACACTTTGCCTAGTTTCTCCTAATGGCAACATTTTGCAAATATCACAACCAGGATACTGACATTGATATGATCCACCAATCTTTATTCAGATTTCCCCAGTGTGCCTCATTCTTTTTTCTTTTATGTTTTGTAGAAATGAGGTCTCACTATGTTGCTCAGGCCAATCTCGAACACCTGGCCTCAAGTGATCCTTCAGCCTCAGCCTCCCAAAGTGCTGAGATTACAGGCGTGAGCCAGCACATCCAGCCCTCATTCTTTTAAAACATCCTATGGATAGACATTTAATTTTCCAATATTTTGCTTTAACAATGTTTGAGTCTCCTGGACTCTACTCAGTTCCACTTAATCTTTTTCTTTCTGGACCCCTATAATATTAATTGCTATGCATTTAAGTGTATCTGGAGGGTCAAATTAACTTTTTTTTTTTTTTGAAAGGAGTCTTGCTTAGTGACAACCCAAGCTGGAGTTCCGTGGCATGATCTCAGCTCACTGCAGCCTCTGACTCCTGGGTTCAAGCGATTCTCCTGCCTTAGCCTCCCGAGTAACTGAGATTACAGGTGCCAACCACCACACCCAACTAATTTTTGCATTTTCAGTAGAGATGGGGTTTCGCCATGTTGGCCAGGCTGGTCTCGAACTCCTAACCTCAGGTGATCCGCCTGCCTCCGCCTCCCAAAATGCTGAGATTACAGGTGTGAGCCAACGTGCCTGACCAAAATTAACTTATTATTCATCCTTTAAATGTTTTCTTTGGCAACTGAGGTAGACATGCAGCCCCCAGTGAGCCCCACCTCCTGGTATTCATGCTTTTGTATAAGTCCCCCCTCTTATGTGTGGGCTGTGCCCGGTGATCTAACAAATGAAATATAGCAAACATGATGGAGCTATTACTTGCAAGACTAGGTTACAAAAGACCATGACTTCTGTCTTGCTGGTATGCTCTGTCTTTCTTTTGCTTGCTTCAGGGTGATGAAGTTCAATACCCTGATGAAACCAGCTGCTGTGTTGTTGTGAGCTCCCCTGTGGAGAGGCCAACATGTCAAGGAACTGAAACCCTCAGTCCAACAGTCCACAAGGAACTTTATACCCTGCTAAAAACCACAAAGTGAATGTGGAAGCAGATCTTGCTCCAGTTGAACCTTGACATGAATCCAGTCCTGGCCAATACTTTGACTGTATCCCTGCGAGAGACCCTGAACTGTAAGACTTATCTAAGCAGTGCCTGGACTCCTGCTCCATGGAGATAGTGAGGTAAATGCATGGTTTTCGTTTAACTTTTTATTTTGAAATAACTGTAAATCCACAGACAGTTGTAAATAAGTATCATGGAGATACCAAAACTTTTCACCCGAGCTTCCCCAAATGGTAACATCTTGCATAGCTTATAGTACATTATCAGTCCCTGTTCTCAATTCATTTGAATATATATCTAGGCGTGGAATTACTGGGTCATATGGTAATTCTATGTTTGACTTTTTGAGGAACTGCCAAGATGTTTTGCACAGTGACTGCATTATTTTCCAACCCACCAGCAATGTATAAGGGCTCTGATTTCCTCACAATCCCACCAACACTTGCGGTTTTCTGTATGTGCATATGCAGGTGTAGTTTTTTTCTTTTTTTAAGACTTACCATCATTGTATTTACTAGGTTCTGAAACAATACACATTCACATCCTTTTGAATACAATACATTTGGCACAATAATGTTTACAATGAAATAACACTAATGAATGGCAAGAGATTAAAATTACATCCAGAAAGGAAAAAAATGTACAAATAAAGCATCACAATACAAAAAATTCCTAAAATTGAATACATTTTATAGTTAGCCAGAATTATTTTGCACATAATTTAAAAAGAGGTAATTTTTTAGCCTTCTTTTTTTTTTTTAAAAAAAAAAAAAAGCAAGAACGCATTGTTTTTTCACCTTTGGAGGAGAAAAATTATGTTTCTACTTCACAAAGTCCACAATGAGAGAACACAGGAGAACAGCTGTCCTTCACATATTTTTTTTCCACTCCTTTTTTTTTAAGAGAGAGAGAGAAAGAGAAAGGGGGTGGGCCTGGAAAGATTAGAAAAAACTGGCAGAAGTGTTAACAGTGTATCTATTTTCAAACTCTTGTAAAAATGAAAATGAAACAATGATTACTCAAGGAACACACAAGGCTTTTTCTATAGACCGCTGGATTGAAATCGGCCTACGTGAGAACTTCACCACCCAGAGGCACCCCAGCCAGCCCAGCCTTGGGTGCTGAAAAGGGCCCTTTCTGGGACAGATGGACTGACTGCCTACAGCTGCCAGGTGGAATGTGCAGGTGTATGTTTTGTAATAGCCTTCCTAATGGGTGTGAAGTGGCATCTCATTGTGGTTTAGATTTGCATTTTTCTCATGACTAGTGATGTTGAGCATCTTTTCATGTGCTTATTGGTCATTTGTATATTCTCTTTGGAGAAATGTCTATTGAAGTCCTTTGTTCATTTTTAGATTGGGTTGTTTGTTGTCAAGTTGTAGGAATCATTTATATATTCGGGATATTAATCCCTTATCAGGTATGATTTGCAAATATTTCTCCAATCCTATAGGTTGCCTTTTTACTATGTTGATATTGTTGTTTAATGAACAACATTTTTAATTTTGATGAACTTCAATTGACTTAGTTTTCTTTTGTTACCTGTACTTTTGAGTCATATCCAAGAAACCATTGCCAAATTCAAGGT